TTAGTCCTAATACTGCTTTTAATATTTTATAGTTCCTTGCCACTGGATGTACTGATTTATTATTGTAGTACACAATGCTATACATTTTTGCTATATCCGGCTCGAAGGACCAAATGTACTTTTATTTTAATGAAGTACACAGTTTGAGTATATTTTAGCTACTGATTTTATTTCAAAAATGTTGTGTTTTTATACAAAAATATTTTAAGACTAATTTCTACATCAAGGTTAAAATATTATGATTTTAATGGACTGTATTACATTTGTCAAAAAAGGTTAAAAAAGGTTAAAAAAGGACGGAAGTCCCAACACTTGGGATTTTCCTCCTATTGTTTTTATGAATATATTTTATTTTAATAATTTAAATACGGTTGCTAAAAAATGTTACTATTTATCTATATTTTTCCTTAGTACATAATTCTAAGAATTTAGGTGATAATATAAACTATAATAATTAAATATATGGTATAAATTCATGTTCATGATTGAACATTCTGCCGGAGGTCAAAACTCATGTTCGTGATTGAACATTTGGCCGTCCAGTAGATGGAATGTCATCGGTGTCTGTATGACCACGTTTGAATTCGGCATACCAATAACAAATGCTTCTTTTTGATGGAGCAGAGTCCGAATAATGTTTTTCAAGCCATTCCTGGCATTGAACAGTATTTTTTTTCATTAAAAAACAATGATAAATCAGCACACGGAATTGATTTGAATTCATTTTTTTTTGAAAACTCAAAAGTAGCGTCACTTAAAGCACTGTAACTTGTAAACAAATGGTCGGATTAACATATGATTTTGACAGTAAGCCTAAAAAGGTTGCCACTTTCGAAAAAAAATATTTATTTAAAGGGGATATGTCATGACTTGCGCAATCGGCTGGGTTGAGTTTTGTAGGGATGTGATGCCAATGCTTAATATCTGGCATTGATTGCATGCAGTCAACGCGATTAGCAACGTACTGCTTTAATTTTGATGTGTTTTAAGGTAGCCAATGAAGAGCAATATTTCAGTCGGAGTATAGAGTGTGTGGTACGTATCCTAGATGCAAATCCTGCCTTGTTTCGTGTAAAAGGGTAGCCAACAATTGTGCAGCGCAAAGTTCGAACTGAGGTATTGTTACTGAATGAAATGGTGCACCCTTAGCCATTCTGGCAATAGTTTTAGCGGTAATGGGCCGTCCCTGCCAGAGTTTTTGTATGAAAAGCTTAGCCGTAATGATGACTGGTGCCAACATGCCAGCTGGATGAAATAGTTTCGCAATATCGTTAAGCACTTGCCTTTTGGTGAGATGTTGTGTATCATGGCAGCTGACCTGATAAAAGAGTCCAAGAACAGTAGTTTCTGCCAATTGTGGATTGAGCTGACATGGATCAGCCATAAATGGTTCCGCCTTGTAGTTGAGCATGGTTGCCTCGGCTGATCCAAATGCAACCCAGCCTAATTGTGTATTTAGTCATCGACTTCGCCACGAACTATACCATCTGCCAACAATTGGCCCCACACTTTAAACCCAAACAATGCATCGATACCACCAGTTTCGCCAAAGTTCGGGTCTGCCAAAGGTGAATTGCGTTTCAACAGTTTTCAGTGATCGAAGCCACAGGTATTGCTGAGGTAATTTTGTTGAAAATGTGGAATTAAACATCCAAGCCAAATGAAGCATTGACAGTCGAAAATATGTGTAAGAGAGCCCGGTCAGTAGTATATGGGCGATTGCCTCTGCCAACGCCTTGCATTTGCAATGCACTTTTCTGCTTACGGAGAGCCAGTTGAAGAAAATATCGCGTAGTGATTATACTTCCCTGGGAGCCTGGATCGCAGAGAGCTCGATACGAGTCGATGTCGCCAAAGGCATTTAATATGTGTACTGGTGCTTCTGCCAAGAATATAGCGCAATTGCCAATAGTAGCGAATGTCTGCATTGGATGGTGTAGTCACTGATGCACACGTGGTGGGATGCCAGCCTGGTTTGGTTTCACTTGTGCCTGAGGTGTAGTTTGTGCCTGCTGTGTGGACTCTTGCAAAGGAGGAATTTGTACTGGTGAACTCCGGCATAGTAGAATGTGATGCCTGCCATTGCATATGCCACAATTAGTTGAGCTGCATGCCTTGGTGGAATGTCCAGGTTTCAAGCAATTGAAGCAAAGATTCGACCCTTTGAGCAATGAGGACCGCTCCGCTGGGGAGGAAGCCAATAGCCTGGTGCAGTTGCCTATTTGGTGCGCTGCGTTATTGCAAAACTGGTAGAGCCCTGGAGTAGTTGCTATTAAGTTTGTCCTCATTAGACGTGAGCCTTGCCTTTTCTGCTCAGCCTGAGATGTGGCACGATATTGCAATGTAGCAGCCTTTCTATCAGATTTTGGTTTGCTTTCCATTGCTCGCCAAACATTGCCAACCGTTCTTACAAGCAAATACTTTTGAACGACTACAATTTGTTAAAAAACAAAACTTATGTCGTAACTGTTTGAGACCAGTAGCTCGTTTATGTAACTTTCTCACTTCGTTTTCTCGAACGATTTTCTCACTTTTGACAATTACTCACTAGAAGTGTTTATGCAACTGTAGTGAATTGTTTTCTCACTTTTTTTCGTTCGAGTTCTTGTCACCTGTCAAATTGCTTGCGAAAAGTTTTGAATTTTGAATTTTGAATATTGAGTTTAAAGTTATAAAAAGTGATAGTGAGAACATTTGATTTCTTTAAATAAAATATTTATTGATATAATCATACTGAGTAATGTAAGTATTCATATATTTACACATATGTATATATAATGTTAAATATATTATTATTATTAATATTGATAAGTAAATTTCATTTGCGATTTATTCATGATTTTCAAATAATTTTGAATATCTTACCGCAAACACTAAGCAACCTTTTCAAATTATTTCATTTTCGTTCCAATTTTTCAAAAAAAGTTCCATTTTCATCAGTTTCTCTCATCACACCATAACGTTCTCGTGTGGTGAATTTTTCCTGTTACATAAACAGAAAACTCGAAAGAAGTGACAAAAAGCAAGTGAGAACTTTTCGAAAGAACCCGTGCGAGTTAAACTCGAATCAGGTTCTCAAGTTAATTTAGTGACCGAGAGGGTAGCTCATCAACAGAGAATAACTCCAAAAGCAACATCAATGCGTATAAATGGAGTTGGTAATATCACAATCGGTGCTCGTCAAAGAATCAGCACTGTCTTTAGATCAATGAATAGCAATTTTAATACAAATTTAGAAGCATTTGTGTTACCACATATCATTGCTCCTCAATGTGTCAATATCAGTTCATAGAACATTTCAAAAAATATTAATATAGCTGATCCTAACTTCAATGAGTCACAAAAAATAGACGTATTATTAGGATCTGAATTTTATCCACATCTCTTAACGCCAGGGCAAATCCAATTGGGAGTCGACAAACCAATACTCCAGAATGCTGCTCTTGGATGTATTGTAAGTGGTATACTAACAGAAACAGCAAAAGGCGACGCAGTCTGTTGTATGTTTAGCGAAGAAGAAAATTCGCTAAATAATCTCCACGTCCGATTTGGGAATCTTGAAGAATCAGCACAAGGTTCAAAACTACTGTCTGATCAAGAAAAATTTAGTAAAACTCATTTTGTGGAAAACTTGAAGGCAGGCAGATTTATTGTGAAATTACCAATTATTGACAGTGTATCAACATTAGGATCCTCTAGTGAAATTGCACAACGCAAATTTTTCTCTCTTGAACGACGGCTGTCAAAAAATGAAGCGTTAAGAGCACAATACGTACAGTTTATTACTGAGTATAAAGATCTCGGTCACATGTAAGAAATTCAACCTGATGACATCATGGCCTCACATTATTTCATTACTCATCATTGCGTGATAAAACCAGATAGCACCACGACAAAATTACGTGTTGTATTCGATGCATCTAGTAAAACTTCATCAGGTCGATCATTATGCGATCTATTCTCAATATTATTACGATTCAGGATTCCAAGATACGCTTTCACAACGGACATTGAGAAAATGCGTAGGCAAATACTTATTCACCCAGAAGATCAAATGCTACAATTAATCATTTGGAGAAATAATCCACAAAAGCCGCTACGATTTTATAAACTAAAAACTGTGACATATGGGACTCGATCAGCTCCATACTTAGCTACAAAATGTTTACAAACTTTAGCAAGAGAATGTTCTGGTACTTATCCATTTGGAGCAGAGACCCTACGAAGAGACTTCTATGTAGATGATGGATTATGTGGTTCTAACAGTCTGATAGAGGCTAAGGTGATTCAAAAACAACTAATCAACATTTTGAAATCATATGGTTTTAAGCCAAGAAAATGGTGCGCTATTCAATCAATCCAATCAATTCAACATTTATTTACTTCTGCTTCTGAACTTATAGTTGTAACAGAAGGAGGTTTGATGTATACTTATAATTAGGTTTAAAAAGTAAGCGATAAAAAAAAAAAAGTTAAGTTAAATAAATAGTAAGGAAATAATTATATATGGTATGTATATATATCTACAAAAAAATTTTGCAAAATCTTATTCGTTTATTATAAATGATCTGTGGCTCGTTTATGTAACTTTCTCACTTCGTTTTCTCGAACGATTTTCTCACTTTTGACAATTACTCACTAGAAGTGTTTATGTAACTATGGTGAATGGTTTTCTCACTTTTTTTTCGTTCGAGTTTTTGTCACATGTCAAATTGCTTGGATTCCCGTACTCTTCGGCCTTCATTTAAAACAGAAATAGTGCTGTACAAATCTGAAGAATCGGTTTCTGTTTGTTGGTGTTCTTGTACCTCGGGCATGGGTAAGTTATGGTTTTTTGTATAATTGTGCAGAACACAACAGACATTTACTATAGATCCCGCATAAGCTGGACTAACTATCAGACCACGTTCAAATGACAAACATGCAAAAATCTTTTTAAGAACTCCATTCAATCGTTCAATGCAATTTCGAGCGTTAATATGCTTTGCATTGAACGTTCGCTAGCTTGCATTTTCACTATTTCTAAAAGGAGTCATTAACCATGGTTGAAGAGGATATCCGGAATCACCCAGTAACCAAATTGAGTCATTATTTTGCCTGTGATTGACTTCTAGGAACTTTTTGATTGCGCTGTTCTCCCATATGAAGGCATCATGCGTACTTCCACCATAACGAGCATAGCATCCCAAGATTTTTAAATCAAAATCGCAAATGAGCTGCACATCTTTTGAAAAATAACCTTTTCTATTTCTGTAACAATGCTCCACTTCTATATGAGGTTTTTTTATTTTAATGTGCGTGCAATCAACAGCACCTATTACCCCTGGAAAGCCTGTCGCATTGAAGAATCTGTGTGACACAATCAATTACTAAAATGCATCTATAACACAAATTTGTTACCTTTGTTTAACAATATTCTGTTCATCTGCAGAAGTGGGAAATCTTATGTACTTCTGCATCAATTTATCCTGAATAATAAAAGTCACTTCTTTTATTACCAAACATAATGTTGACTTGCTCATTGGGCACACAAAGTCCTCTCCTATGTCGCGTAAAAACGACCCTGTTGCATAAAAATGCAGCGCAGCAGTTAGCCTTATATGATTCGGTATATAGGTGTTTCTGACCCCAATCCTCATAAACGGACATATTTCTTCTAAAAGACGTAGAGTTACTTCCTTATTAAAGCGAAATAGCTCGACACTCGACAAAACGCGCTTCTGGCAAATGAAATGGGTCAGTTGAATAACGTAAATGCCTTCGATGACTGCGAAGCATATTTCTGCTATCATGTACCACTGCAGTTAAAACAGCAAGATATTCCATTTTTAATTCTGAACAAGAGGCATGATTCATGATTTTCAAATAATTTTGAATATCTTATCGCAAACATTAAGCAAACTTTTTAAATTGTCTTTTTAATGGAAAAAAACGTTCCATTTTCATTAATTTCTCTCATCACACCATAACGTTCTCGTGTGTTGAATTTTTCATGCTACATAAACAGCAAACTCGAAAGAAGTGACAAAAAGCAAGTGAGAACTTTTCGAAAGAATTCGTTCGAGTTTAACTCGAACGAGTTACATAAACGAGCCACAGATTTTAAGACTATTTAATATATATGTGAATATTGCTTTAGATGATTGCGGATCAGTGCAGTTGAAAATTAGAGATTTATTGTCTCTGAAGACTGTAAACAAGAAACTAAGATGGTGATCTCGTACTGAGGAGTAAATAAGCCACTCAAACATAAAGTGATTCAACGTTTCTTCAGTTTGTAAATTAGAAAGTGTACAAAGGTTCTTGATTTCGAGTCTGTGAATTTGCCCGTTAATACAAAAACGAGTGCAGTGAGTTTATGACAACCGCAATAGGGGGATAACCTTTGCTATAAAAAATTGCTTACGATTAAAGAGATAACAGGCAGGTTTGTCATCCAGAGCTCTTAATATATTGCAATTCGTGGATTATCAGTTAGTGGACTTTAGAATGTCTTTGAATTTCAGATATCTATGATAGTGCCGTAGTTCGGTTATCAATCCAAGTTGCTGCAGTCGGTGTTTCCCACAAGTTTGTCATATTTACAACTTTAAGAAATTCGTTAAATTGTGTAACCCAATTAAATTCACTTATAGAAGAATTATTTACGTGTAGGTAAATGAGACGAAGGAGACATTGTTTGGGGTATCTTGATTGGTCTATTTGAAGAATTCGTATAATGAAATCGATTGCGCGTTTGAAAACTCTATATGAAATTTTTACAAGGCATAGTTCAAGTCTAAGTGCTGCATTGTTTGTAGCTAACAAACGTTTGTAGTACGTTGATTGAACGATTTCTAGTGAATCACAGTAACGTAGATCCCACACTTCTGATGCATATAAAAGTGTTACAGATATAGTACAGTCGAATAGTTTAGCCCGACCTTCCCAAGAATCTGATTTAAATTTACTTATAGTTTGTACTGCCGTACCGAGGGCCATTTTCCCTTTTCTTATGTCAGTTTCCGCTGCACATTTGCCTAATGTAGAGCTTAAGAAATTTACTCCTAAGTATGTGTAGGACTTCACGACAGAAATTTTTTGACATTTGTAAAAGAAATTTTCTGCTATTGGCCTTTCCCCTCTTCTAAAGTGGACAATTTGAGTTTTTTCCGTGTTTACAACAAGTTTGTTTTTTTCGCAGTAGCTTTCAAGTGCTAATAGATTTTTTCGTAAAATAATAGGAGTCCTGGCTAGAACATCGGCGTCATCTGCAAAAAGCAGCATCAAAATATCATGTAGACCATTAATATTTGTAACGACACGGATTTGTCGTTTCAAATTTGCTGAGGTATGACTCAGTCGTGGTCCGGGTCGTTGCAATAAATTTATTCTATTGACCAGTTCGAAGCTGGTAAACCAAGGAAAGTTAAAAAGACCGTTTATTATTTTAAACAAAAACTTTATTTATTAAAAAGATTTCTTTAATAATTTATTTTAATCTTGACTCTACTCGATAATTTATTTTAAGCTTGACTCTACTCGATAATTTATTTTAAGCTTGACTCTACTCGATAATTTTTGCTCAAAGACGTCAGAACATCAAAGGGTTCTTCCAAATCTACGCAATTAGTTTTAGCCAAAGACGTCAAAACATCAATGGCGTTTATAAATCTACTCAATAATTTTTACCCAAAGACGTCAAAACATCAAAGGGTTTTTTTCAAAGCTACGCAATTAGTTCTAGCCAAAGACGTCAAAACATCAATGGCGTTTATAAAATCTACTTCTACTGATTTATTAAGCCTTAGCGTCGAAACACCATGGGCTTCTAAATAAAAAAAAAGAAAGACTTAGCGCTGGAGTAGAGTACTACTCGTTTCGGTGTGCCGGTGCTAAGTGATCTTTCATACAAAATCTCCGCTATTTATGTACGACACTTTGCTTTGCTTAGATGCACGCACAACCGCACAAGTGTAATTCGCTGTCAGCTTTGTTATGCTTGTCGTGTGTGCGTATGTTCGCGGTTGGCTTTGTTTTGCTTGTCGTGTGTGCGTGTGTTCGCGGTTGGCTTCGTTTCGCTTGTCGTGTGTGCGTGTGTTCGCGGTTGGCTTTGTTTTGCGTGTCGTTTGTGCGTATGTTCGTGGTTGGTTTTGTTTATTTGTTTTAAATAATTTTTACGTAGACGAAATTTTTACAACTATTGTTTTCTTTTATTCATAATAAATTCTAAAAATAACTCTAGCCTAAATATAGTCAATTCTTTTCATATAAACAATTGTTTTGTATAAAAATAACTTATGTCTATCAATTTATTTCATATAAACATTAATTTTGTATAAAAATAACTTATGTCTAGTAATTCATTTCATATCAACATTAATTTCGTATAAAAAATATTTATATATAAAGTAAATTTTTATTTATGCATATACATATTTTAAGGAAAATAAAATTTACTTTATATATTGATCCCTTCAATATTTGCATTCCTTAATTCTTTCTCAAGATCAGCAATAAACAATATGAAAAGGAGAGGGTTGAGAATTTCCCCTAGGAGAACGTCCTCGGTAACAAAGATATGATCGGAGTCTTTTTGTTGAAGTTTGATCACGAAGAAAGCCTTGTCGTTAATAGACTGGAGAATTTTAATTAAGCGCGAACTTATACCTTGCGAATGAAGTTTTTGCCAGAGCAGCATCTGGTCAATAGAATCAAATACCCTTTTGAAATCAATAAAAAGTCCGTAAGCAGAGTTGCTTTTTAGACGTAGATGTATTTGAATTGATGTTTGAAGAGTAAAAATATTATCAGTACATGATCTTTTTTTTCTAAACCCATTTTGCGACTCAGGAATTTTATTGTATTGTTCCGCCCATGGCAAGAGGCGATCATGCAGAATATGGGTAAAAAATTTTAAGATAATATTGAATAGAGCAATGCCTCTATAATTTTCGGGTGAGTTTATATCACCTTTTTTGTGTAACATAATAAGTATGGACTATGACCAAGAAGCTGATGTGCTTCCAATTAAGAGAATATTATTGAATACAGACTGTAGGACATAAATCCGTTGACTAGATAAATTCTTAAAGAACTCTGCCGTAATCGCATTTTCGCCTGGAGCCTTATTGATTTTGATTTTGATTTTATTTATTGCTGTTTTTATTTCAATTATTGTTATTTCCGAATCCAGCGCTTCGATAAAGTTTTCAGACAGTATAAGTTCAATGGTAGGACGAGGTAGTTAAATTTGCTCGTAGAAGCTTTGCCAAACAGAATTTTGTATGGGGTTGTTGACAAAAGGTTTTCTATTGTACGATTTAATAACATTCCAAAAGTCTTTCGAACTTTTTACGTTAAAGAATTTGTTTTTGACCTTAATTTCATATTCCGTTCTTTTTTCAAACAGCATTTTTTTGTAATTAGCTTTTAAATTTATGTATACCGCTTTAGTTTTAGATAAAAAGCTTTGTCGTTTGCACTTTTTTAGGGCATGATTTAGATTTTTCTTTGAGGCCCGTAGCTCTGAGTCAAACCATGGCTTAGAAGTATAATAAAGAGAAGAAGTATAGTAAAGAGGCATAAAGGGCTTAGCAATAACCATTTCTGATGCTTGAGCGGATTTTTGTAGAGATAGTTGTAGTTTAGCAACTTTTTGCTAAATTTTTTTTAACTAGAGATACAATACCACCCAGTGGCGTAACTACATTTTTTAGGCCTGTAAGCAAATTCTAACTAAGGGGCCCCTATCAACATACTAAGGGGCCCCTCTTTTTATACTCTTTACACGAAAAATGTGAAAAGGGTATATAAGGTTTGTCAAGATTTTCGTAACGCATTAAAGGAAACGTCGGAAATACCATTAAGTATATATCAGTACAGTATATATATACTTTTTCAGTTCAAACTACTTTCTCAGCTTTTGAACTCTTCGAATGAAACTTTACACACATACTTTTAGCCGACCCTGTTCACCATTTGATTTGATTGAAATTTGACGTCTATTTCTTGTAGCTGTGATATAAACTTAACAATCGGATATGAGGTTTCTCCGTTTTTAATAAAGGTATTTAAATAGAATTTAGTGTATACAGTACTGATATTTGCAAAAGACAACGTACAAAATTATTTTCAAATGGGTTTAAATCTAGATATAGCTTCCATATAAACTCTCGATTACGACACATACTTTTCTTAGAAAAACTTTTTTATTTTATAAATAGGTTTAATATTTTATTTGAAGTACATACATATTATGTACTTTAAATTTAAAATTTACGTGTCTTTTATAAAATGCAATATGAAGTTATTCCAACAAAAAAACGTTTACAAACATTTATAGTGGGGCCCCCTAAATTCGGGGGCCCGAAAGCGTTGCTTCCAGTTGCTTCCCTGTAGTTACGCCACTGATACCACCACTAGCTCTACCAGTGGACTTTTCCCTTATTGCTGGGGTTGTCACCGCATCATAGTTGCACCAAGGACTAAGGCTAGTATTGAAAGGTGTTGTTGACCAGGTTTCATAGACAGATATGATCTGCGAGTCAGCAATTTTTGGTTCATTAAAAAGATTTGCAATACCGTGTATATTCCAAAATGTTATTTAAAGCTTAAAAAGATTGTATGTAGATGCTGTGTTCCGTGTTGTTAATGTGCT